ACACAATGTGCCATTGGAACACAGGACTGATGGTTGCTGATAATGGGCCTCTGTACGCATATGTAGATATTCCATAACAAATCAGCCGTTTCCAGCTACAATAGCCATTTACAACATTAACAATGTCTTCACTGTAATTCTGATCAATTTGATGTTATTTTAATGGACAAAAAAAATGCTTTTCTTTCGAAATAAAGGACATTTCTAAGTGACCCCAAACATTTGAACGGTAGTGTACATATGAGAAGAATAAAGCAGTAAGTAAACATTATTAATGTGACTAGTGTTCCATTATTAAAGTGGCCAGTGATACCAAGTCTATGTATTTTTGCAGCAGCCTCTAAGGTGCAGGGTTGCGTAACCGGGTGGAAGCCGGGTAGTGATGGCTATTTAACAGTCTGATGGCCTTGAGATAGAAGCTGTTTTTCAGTCTCTCGGTCCCAGCTTTGATGCACCTGTACTGACCCCGCCTTCTGGATGATAGCAGGGTGAACAGGCCGTGGCTCGGGTGGTTAATGTCCTTGATGATATTTTTGGCCTTCTTGTGACATCGGGTGCTGTAGGTGTCCTGGAGGGCAGGTAGTTTGCCCCCAGTGACGCATTGGGCAGACCACACCGCCCGCAACTGCAGTTTCTGTACCAGGTGGTGATACAGCCCGACAGGATGCTCTCAAATGTGCATCTGTAAAAGTTTGTGAGGGTTTTAGGTGCCAAGCCAAATTTCTTCAGCCTCCTGTCTGTGTGGGTGGACCATTTCAGATCGTCAGTGATGTGTACGCTGAGGAACTTGAAGCTTTCCACCTTCTCCACTGCGGTCCCATTGATGTTGATAGGAGCGTGCTCCCTCTGCTGTTTCCTGAAGTCCACGATCAGCTCCTTTGTTTTGTTGACGTTGAGTGAGAGGTTATTTTCCTGGTACCACTCTCCCAGGGCCCTCATCTCCTCCCTGTAGGCTGTCTCGTCATTGTTGGTAATCAGGCCTACTACTGTTGTGTCATCTGCAAACTTGATGATTGAGTTGGCGGCGTGTATGGCCACGCAGTCATGGGTGAACAGGGAGTAAAGGAGGGGGCTGAGCACGCACCCTTGTGGGGCCCCTGTGTTGAGGATCAGCGAAGTGGAGGTGTTGTTTCCTACCTTCACCACCTGGGGGCGGCCCGCCAGGAAGTCCAGGACCCAGTTGCACAGGGCGGGGTTCAGACCAAGGGCCCCGAGCTTAATGATGAGCTTGGAGGGTACTATGGTGTTGAATGCTGAGCAGGGGCGGTGTGTTCAATAGGGCGATATGGGCGACGCACTGCCAAACGGGAAAAGGAAGGGATTTTTTTTCTAATCAATTATATCACGGCAACAGTAGTTATCAGTGTTGTAATCTAGACGTCTGATCTGCCACAGTGCCACTAAATGTCCAATCAGGCTAAAGTCGTGCTTCAAATGGCCCCCCCCCCTTTTGGGGCGATTTCAGTCAGGTGGAAAATCGCCCAGAAGTCTGTCATAGACTCCCATGTAAAATCTATTTTTTTCAAATATCAGAGCTTTCAATACAATCTCTATGGGTTTCTGAGGGCTTGCACTTACGCGCTTTCGTCATACGTAACATAACCATGAACGTAACTAAGAAAAGAGCGGGTAGCAGCATCAATCAATTCACTACTACTATCAAAATGGCTAGGCTTCAGTGCAACTCGATTGTGTCTTTGAAAGAAGTTCCTTTTTGTCGGCGAACAAATGAAGATAAATTGGCAACGAAACAATTAGGACCTCCCAGACCAAATTTAATAATTCAACAGATTTCTACTAAAGGGGGGAAGTCCTACACCCGAGGATTTTCCAAAAATTGGTACGAACGAAAAACCTGGCTAGCAGGCTGCGATGTAGCTAATGCAGTCTTCTGCTACCCCCTGCTTACTCTTTCACCCTGAAGGCGGCACGGCAGACAGCACCGCTTGGACAGCGACTGGTGTGTAACGGACATGCACCATCTTTCAGGAAAGATTAAGAAACATGAGCTGTCAAAGACCCACATGGATAGCTGTTTGAGATTGTCTGCTTTGGGGAGAGTGAACATTCCCACTCAACTGGATGAGGGATACAGGCTAGCTGTCCGCCGCCACAACGATGAGGTTAGTGTTGATAATCACAAGTTTACTGGAGAACTGAAACTGACAAGGCTGACAAGATAGGACCCTTTTGTCCATTGTTATTGGATAGGAACAGAACTTATAACCAGCTCCTGACCTAAATAGATCTTAGCACAACATTTTACTCAACATATCATATTCCATATTCACTATAACAAATATATTTACTACGACATTAGCAAGAACCGCCACATCCTCAGCCGGCTAATCCAGTGTGTGAAGTTTTGCGGAGTGTTTGAGTTAGCTTTGCGAGGCAAAGATGAAACTGAGGGCTCCACCAACCCTGGTAAGCCAACACTTTTGAGATCAGTCAATAAATGCTTCTGGTATTGACTTATATGCTGCCCCTGTCTTCATGTTGTTGCTGGACATATCTTTTTTAAAATGTGTGTAGGTCACCTAAATCATCAGAAAAATTGCCCCCCCTGAGAATTTTTTCAGGAGCCGCCACTGATGCTGAGCTATAGTCAATGAACAGCATTCTTAAATAGGTATTCCTCTTGTCCAGATGGGATAGTGTAGTGTGCAGTGCGATGGCATCATCTGTGGATCTATTGGGGCGGTAAGCAAATTGAATTGGGTCTAGGGTGTCAGGTAAGGTAGAGGTGATATGATCCTTAACTAGCCTCTCAAAGCACTTCATGATGACAGAAGTGAGTGCTACAGGCGATAGTCAGAGAGAAAGACATGCAGTATCAGCCTTCCCAGTCTTGTGAATTGGAAAGTGATCAATTAAATGGTCCTCGTTGAGAGTGGAAAGAGCAATGGCTTCTCTCCAGTGTGGTGGGCTAAGGGAACAGTGTGATCAAAAGCATGGTAAACAGACTCAGCACAGGCTAGACGAGTTTCAGAGAGTCAAATAGATGTATAGCGTCATTTTATGTTCTGTGGGAGACCCGAGTCAAACTCTTCCACCCGCTGCAGTTTTACTTGGAATCTGTTTTGGCCTATCTACTTATTTTCTGTCCTGAATCACCATCTCTAAGGGGTAAACATCAAACAGTTATTCCCACTGGCCTACTAAAAAATGTACTTTGTTTTAAGATGATTCATTCCATTCTAATTCTATTGATACAGGGAGATAAATCATTTATATGGAGACATAAATCAGAAATATTCTGGCCTTGAATGGTTCAAGAGACAACCCCATCAATGATTCCTCCGAATTTGCTATAGACTTGAATTACTACTGGACATCCTATAGGCACCACACTTTATAGATCTTGATATTGGCCTGGAGACATAACCCCCTTGTGGCCATTCTTAGGTCTACAAATGTTAACCCATCAATTCTTAATCAACAGGCACCTTGCAGTGAAATTTAAAATACACTTTTTAAAAGGAATTCAAAAGAAACAAAAAGGCGTAGCATTTCATTTGTATTCTTATATTTGTATTCCTCAGTTCGTTTTTAGATTTGGATTCTTGCCTAAAGCTGTAATATTTGATGTTTGAGACTGTTTAGTATTAGAGCTAAATATGGATAAATACTGGTTGGTAATGAGTCTTTCTGAGATATCCATCCGTCTTTCTGAGCCCATGGTCCTGACAGTAAGAGAAAAGCAACTCAGATTTATTTACACTGCAAAAAGTTAAATGTAAGTGAAGTTGTTCTATTTTGAGCCTGGGCTTTAATCTTTGAGTGAAAACACAGCAAAAGCCACTCAACAAGCGGCTGCTCGGCCCAGATGCTGGGAGTCTCATCCGCCTAATTCCACTTGAATTTTTGTCATATTGTTTAACTTCTCATATCCCCCAAGGAGTCGATATTATTACCCCCACCCTCCAACCTCAGTGAGGACCAGGGAAGGAGCATCTTGAGGCGGCCTGGAAAGAGGCAGATTAGTGTTCCCACATACCAGGGCTTCAACACAGCCACAGCAGCATCAACCCAGCCATTGCCCAGCAACCAATTACCCAAGATATGCACTTCCTCTTTGAAGATTAAAATCCACTAACCTCCCTGCTTGAGCTTGGGTTTGTAGAGTTCCGTTTTATATAACACAGTACGGCAGGGCTTGGTATATGTAGACAGTCAACGCACTTGCACCACCATTTTCTTGTTTGTTTTCAGTACTAAATGGGAATGTTTGTTAAATGATGAGTTAGGTATTCTGAATAGCTGACAGATTAATTTTAAGTGGGACAGCAATTACTTTGATGTGCAAGTAGGATTGCAGAGGTTTCTGGTGCAAAACACTCCACAACAAACTACTTGAAAGTGTATTCACCAACTATGACCCTTTCAAGTGTTTTGAAGTACTGAGTAAAATAGGATGGCAAATGGACAGTGATCAAGGACATTGTCTGTTTGCGTAAGGTTTACAGGAAAAAACATGACTTCCTCCATATGATTGAACCACAGAGGGCAAAACAATTGAGGAGACGTTAATGCTGTTTGAGGTTTACCATGACCTTCTTCCTCCTTGCTAATCAGGCACGCGTTGACAGGTCACCTCCACATCAGCCTCATGACCAATAACAACAGGTTAGGCCTTGAGCCTTCAAACAAATAGGTTAAAAGGGATGTTATGGTCGTCAGCATGTTGACTGTCTAAAGAGAACTGCAATACACAGCAGGGGTCACTTGTGAAAATACAATGAAGTATGCCTCACCTTGGCATTTGGGAAAAAGCCTAGGGTGTACATTTGAAACTTCCTGTATGTTTCATAGGCAGGAAGTGATGAGTATACTGTAGTAGCTCCAAAGCAAGTCAGAAGACCCAAAATGTTTGCAATTGTACATTACATTAAACATTATTATTTTAGGCTACCTTTTAAAGTCGCAGTACACCATTTGAGTCACTGCCTCTGGTAGATAGCTCTTTAAATACAGTATCAGAGCGTATTCAAACATGATTGGGTTAGAAACTTTATTAACAAAACAAAGGCAAAGCACAGCTTAAACTCACTCCTAAATATGTATGAAGTGCTAGGTGCCACGCCACCACATTACAGTTAATATTAGAATCTCACAGCGACTCAGATATACTGTATAATATACCTCTATAGACCTTGCAACATAAATAGCAGCTACAACTGTGTTTAAATAGCCTTAAATAGTCTCAACATGCTTATTCTCTGAAGTCAGTGCCCCACCTAGTGGCACCTCAGGACAGTACCATCAGACAAACAGTGTAGAGGAGAGGGTTAAAGTGGGTGTTTTTATAGGCACAGAAGTGCTGCCCTCTGGTGGGCAGGAGGCGAAGGTGGAGACTGATGCAGCAGGGTTGTCTAGGCGACCACCCACTGGAGGATGCTGGTGTCCTTCCCTCCTGTGGAGATCAGGTGACTGTCGTCGTGGAGAAAGGCAACGTTGGTCACATGGCTGCTGTGGCCACTGTAGGTATGGCTTGGGGCCTGCATGGCGTGACAAGGAGGGGAGACAGACACAAAGAGAAGGTTAATAATTAATCCACTGAGGGGCAAATCCTAACTTCCACTTTAGTAAAAAATGTCCCCTGAATGATTAACTTTCATATGTTTAGATGCAAACAGGTTAATTTAAGTGGATGAGAAAACACTCAAATAAAAACGTAGAAGATGTAAATGATTGCAAACGTACCCTTGGCTGGGAGCAGGGGTTGGAGAACAAGCGCACTTTGCCAAAGTCGTCAGCAGAGGCCAGCAGGGAAGAGTCATGTGACCTGCACACGGCGTTGATGTCCGTGCCGTCAGCACCGTCGGGCCAAACACCTAGATGGAACCAGTGATGTAGGTGTAAAAAAATAGGTGGGTAAACTGTGATCGCCAGTTGCGGTGAAAAAAGTAATGCTTAAGTTCGTATACTTTTAATGCATTCTTCCACAAAAGGTGGGTAGACTATTTACTTGCGTTTACCCTCCACTACTCCACTAGATAGAACCAAACCAGCCCAGAGGCAGGAAACAGAGACTCTCACTTGATACAATTGCAAAGACTAACAGCTCCATTTTAAAATGATTGGACTGCTGTCACAATCGCCAATTGCTAGTGACCTGAACAGACTGTTTAAAGAACTCAGTGAGTTACAGTTGACGCAGATAAGTTTCGTTTCTTGGATTTATAAAGCTACAGTCTGGTTTTGCCATCATTACCCCATATCACAAGTGAAACAGGAAGTGGTGACTCACCAAAGACGCTGAAGCCTAGAACACAAGTGGAAGTTGCCCACTGCACATTACGAACTAGGTCTATGCTCGTCACATGTTTGGCGCTGGAAGCTTCCCCTTTACCACAAACAGAAGATAAGCTTGAATGTACCACAATAGACCGCAGTTATAGACAAAGTTATCCATTTGGACAAAAGAGACTCACAGAATAGGATCTCGTAGTCTCCCGAGTTGGTTACAATGTATTGGCTGTCAACGGACCAATCCAGGTGGGTGACAAAACTGGAGTGACCCTATGAGTAAAATAAATAAACAAATCACAATAATGTTAGTGTAATAGTTCAGAAAACAGAGGGATTTAATTTCCCATAAATGGGATTGTCTTTATTACTTACAGTGCATTTCCCCACGCGGCTGTACTTCTTGCCATTCTCCGTCACGGCATAGATGTAAACAAAGTTGTCATGGGAACCTACAGCTAGGAAGTTGCCATCTAAGAACAGGAGAGTTAGGTTAGTTGTGATTGTGGATGTAGGAGGAGGTGGATAAGAATACTGTATAATCCTGTACCGTTTTGTTCAGACAGATGGTCAGCCATTTTCTGAGATTTCACTTATTGGAGCCATTAACAATGTGTATATTTAAGGAGGGATATAAGATATTGTAAATGACGTCTCTTGTACAATACCTGGGGAGTACTTGACATTAGAGATTATCTCGTTGCCATCAGTGTGCATGTACACCAGGTCTCCGGTGTCAGTGTCCAGCACCAACCACCTACAGACACACAGACAGGATGAGGAAGTATAGGAGAGATCATTTGATGGTGTCTTTGCCCTAATACTATGTAATCAAATTCCATACCAAATCCTTCATCCTGTCTAAATGAAGTGTGCTGTTAGCATTTCATTGTCCAATTAGAGATGATTGTCAAGCAAATGTGAGAGGATCTGAGGATGTACAGTACCTTCCTGTCATGGTCCCCACTGCCAGCACAGCTCCACTGGGATGGAACCCTGCAGAGCGCCCTGGGTCCTGGAGGATGGAGGGAGACAGAGGATCAACAGGGCTGCATGGTGCCCATCACATACAAGTCAGGACAACTACTGTGGACTGATGTAAATTCACTAAGCTAGATGTTTCAGGTGCCTTTGTCATTACAGCAGGGTAACGAAGTGTGGATCTGGACCAACTACAACTCTCTTCTTGAAGCTGGTGTACAGTCGTGGTCAAACGTTTTGAGAATGACACAAGTATTGGTCTTCACAAAGTTTGCTGCTTCAGTGTTTTTAGATATTTTTGTCAGATGTTACTATGGTATACTGAAGTATAATTACAAGCATTCCATAAGTGTCAACGGCTTTTAGTGACAATTACATTAACCTTATGCAAAGAGTCAATATTTGCAGTGTTGACCCTTCTTTTTCAAGACCTCTGCAATCCGCCCTGGCATGCTGTCAATTAACTTCTGGGCCACATCCTGACTGATGGCAGCCCATTCTTGTATAATCAATGCTTGGAGTTTGTCAGAATTTGTGGGGTTTTGTTTGTCCACCCGCCTCTTGAGGATTGACCACAAGTTCTCAAATGGGATTAAGGTCTGGGGAGTTTTCGGGCCATGGACCCAAAATGTTGATGTTTTGTTCCCCGAGCCACTTAGTTATCACTTTTGCATTATGGCAAGGTGCTCTATCATGCTGGAAAAGGCATTGTTCGTCACCAAACTGTTATTGGATGGTTGGGAGAAGTTGCTCTCGGAGGATGTGTTGGTACCATTCTTTATTCATGGCTGTGTTCTTAGGCAAAATTGTGAGTGAGCCCACTCCCTTGGCTGAGAAGCAACCCCACACATGAATGGTCTCAGGATGCTTTACTGTTGGCATGACACAGGACTGCTGGTAGCGCGCACCTTGTCTTTACCCCAGTCCTCAGCAGTCCAATCCCTGTACCTTTTGCAGAATATCAGTCTGTCCCTGATGTTTTTCCTGGAGAGAAGTGGCTTCCTTGCTGCCCTTCTTGACACCAGGCCATCCTCCAAAAGTATTCGCCACACTGTGCGTGCAGATGCACTCACACCAGCCTGCTGCCATTCCTGAGCAAGCTCTGCACTGGTGGTGCCCCGATCCCGCAGCTGAATCAACTTTAGGAGCCGGTCCTGGCGCTTGCTGGACATTCTTGGGCGCCCTGAAGCCTTCTTCACAACAATTGAACCGCTCTCCTTGAAGTTCTTGATGATCCGATAAATGGTTGATTTAGGTGCAATCTTACTAGCAGCAATATCCATGCCTGTGAAGCCCTTTTTGTGCAAAGCAATGATGACGGCACGTGTTTCCTTGCAGGTAACCATCATAAAAACTGAGGCAGCAGACTTTGTGAAAATTAATATTTGTGTCATTCTCAAAACTTTTGACCACGACTGTATATTCAAAGGAGTGTAGCGACACAGAAGAGTCGGAAGATTGAGCACCTCTATGGTCTTGCTCCAGAGAGGCTGATGGGAGTTGGTGTCCCATAGGTGGACCTGCTTGTCCTGGCCACAAGTCACAAACTGCTCCATAGAAGGATGGATGTCCAGCCCCCACAGCTCATCTGTGTGACCCTGAGAGATGGAGAGATTAAGAGAGGAGGCGAGATTATAGAGAAAGGGTATTGCATGTACAGAAAAAGCAAAATGGAGACAGATGATGAAGAACGGTAAAAGAGGAAGGGAGAGAAGAGAAATATGGGCGTTATAAAACAGGTAAAAACGTATATGTAGGAAATAACTAGTTACAGTGGCAATTGAGAGGTTGTGTACCTGTACTATAGGGTTGAGTATTTCAGGGAATGAGCCTGTAAGGATGGCGTTCTTGGTGGTCCCAACTAACAGCTCCCCCTGCTTCCCCTCAGTCACGGCTCTCACTGGCCCAAACGCCTCAGGGACCTGAGAGAGAGGACACACAACAGCAAAAAGCATAAAACTATACATCTCATCTGTCATTCTCAAGTTGCATTACGGCTGCCCAAAGGACACCTAAACAGTTAACAAACACTTGGTCTTTGTAACTGTCATGTGCTAAGGAAAAGGTCAAGGGAAGCTATGAGCTCAGCAGTCTTGATTTTGGTTCATATAGAGTACAGCATGTCCTTATCTGCATAAGGTTTACTCATCCTTCTGAGTCATTCACACCCTCTTCTCTCACCTCCATCTCACTCTGCTTGTGATAGTCGTGGTCCCAGAGCACCATCCTGCGGTCCTTCCCTCCACCTGACACCAGCGTACCGTCCTTCAGCACACACAGGGAGAAGATCCCGCCCTCATGGGCCCGCACCACCACCTGGCTGATCCGGTTCCCACCTGTCAATCACAAACCGCTGTCAAATAATATGCTTCAAGGAGGGACGTTTGAGGTGGACTTGTGTGATGTGTACTTTATTTGTAATAAATTGCTTTCATATAAGTAAAGAAATGGATGTGTGAATTGAATGACTGGTTGCAGAGCACTAAGTTACGATGGCTGAGAAGGCTGTTGTCTTCAAACAGACCTTTGGCCCAGACGTAGATGTTCCCACTGGAGTCTCCTGTGATGGCGTCTCCGTTCTCAGCAAAGGCCACACACAGCACGTACTTGGGCTTCTCGTTTTTCTGGGAGAAAATGTTTAACAGTACTGTTATAATTCAATAATTACTTTGTGTACACAAAATCATATTTTTTACAGTTACCAGTTGTAACAGGAGACAGAAGTTAAGTTGTTTTTTGGTTGTTCACACACCTCGAACAGCCCCTGGCGTTTGGTGAGAGTGTTTCCGTCCATGGTCCAGAAGTTCAAGTGGGACTTCCCACAGGTGACGATCAGGTTGGCGTCCATTGGGTGGAAGGCTGCGGCCAGCACTGAGTCATTAGAGCACTGGAGGGGATGACAGGAGAATTAGACCCCTGAACTGGCAGACGATGGTGACTGACTGCACCACAGATAACAACACTTTCTCATACTCAAGCCTACACTGCTGACGCCTTCACTTTTCCTTATGTTAACAGTGATCAATCATGACTAGTCTTTATTGCCGTGATATACCATGCAATACCAAGGATAGCAGCTCTCCTCATGCATACTGTAGTTTAGTCTGTGAGGCTTCATCACCTTCACATCAGCCAGCTGTTTCTCCTTCTGCCAGTTCCACACAGACAGGATGTGATCATTGGCATCGTCGACGGCACAGAGATGAGTGCCACCATTCTGTTGAAGGACAGGTATTTATCAGAGCCATATATATATATATATCATGTAAATAAATGGCTCTATTTGTTTCAGACAATTTATAGATATTTAACATATATATATTGTCATGGAACATGCTTTCAAAATAATAATGAATTACTATGAATTACTTTCTCAAAGTTAGGTCTGTAATCAGGTTGTGGAGGGCTTACCGACTTGGAGAAGGCCACACAGGTGACCGCACGGTCAAACACGCCCATCCCAATGACATGCAGGGTATTGAGACTGACCGAATCCCACACACGCACATGAGGAGGCAACAGCTGAGAGAGAGAGTGGGTGTGAGAGAAAGAAAGTGGATACAGTGCTGTCATGCATTACATTGAAATGTATAATATATTTGAATAATATAAAATATAAGATGGTCATAACAGGACATAACTGGTCATTTCTTCAGAATTTGTTGATTTTAAATGTACCTTGCCCTCTAACAGCTGATAATGAAATTAATGAAAGAGAGAGAGAGTAGGTCAGAGAGAGAAATTGGAACCACTGCAGTCATGGACATCCTACTGTGAACCACAATACGATTCCCATAAGAGATCAGAAGAGGTCATTCCTTCAGAACGTAATCATTTGTTTTATTTTAAAATGTACCTTGCCATCTTTGGAGGTTCCGGCGACTTGTCCAGTGGCTATGGTGACCATGTCTGGATGGATGCCTAAGCTGCCGGGAAGAGAGCACAGTGACAGTGATGTGGTGAGTCATAAGGCCAAGCTAACCTTTCCCACTGTCCTCTGGGGACTTCTTGTTTGTTTTTTTCCATCTCTGTATACAACGGCTGTAATGCCGTCTAAGTCAACTCATTTATTCAGACCTTTAATAATGACTCATGAAATAAACAAACAGTCAATGATACTTCAACAAGCAAATAATGGGCCCTACAACAAATACACTGGTATGAAGAGCCCTTGAAGAAGCATAAGTGTTGTGATGATACATAATACTTTCATGAACGCATTTGCACATTTTGAAGGTAAATTCGACATTATTATAGCCACACTGAAAACAGTCTACAATACTAATGAAAGAGTATGCTGGTCAGGCATATCAAATAGTTAGCTATAGCCCAACATGTATGAAAATGATACTGTGCAAGTAGGACATTACCATATACCAGCCCAACCTTTGTTTGCACAGGAGACACAGAGCCTCGAACAGGACCTAATTTAAATAAAGTTAGTTTATTCTGAATCAATGTGTCATTCAAGGAAGTTCTCTTGGCACAGTAAGCCTTGGAAAATGCAATTCTACCTTGCCCCGATTTGAATCAAATGATAGCTGATGATTATCAGATGAAACTGTGAATGCCATCTAGTGAGCAATCACATTCAGCTAAATTAATTCCAAATGAAACATCTTGCCCTTTGCGAAGCCTATCACGTGCATTGCTGCACTAAATGCAGTGGGGTATCATCATCATCTGGAGTGAAAGCTAAGGCAAAGAAAAATAAGATACATTTCCTGAAGAAAAGTTGTGTGCTTGCGCCAGTCATCTAAAGGTTATGGTAGTGGGAGCTGCTGAACCAAGCACACTAGCCTTACCATTTGACATCGTCGTTGTGGCCCAGGTAATGTCTCTGCTGCTGTTCCTCCACGTTGTAGAGCACCACCACAGAGGCATTGAAGTAGACTATCTCCCCTGTGGGGAGCAGGTAGAGGTTGGTGCGGCAGTCTCTGCCCCTGTACCCATACCTGGACGACCGAGGGTTAAGGACCACAACAGTAACCCTGTGAACAACCAGTGTTGAACAGTAGGAGGCTGATGCTATCTCAGAACTTATGGAAGGGAAGTACAATACAAATCAAAGAAGTTACTCTCCAGAGGTCATAAACTCACACACAAGTCATCAACTATAGTAATGTGGTACTATATTATTTTGTGATGACAGTAATGAAACACGGAAATGTCCTTTCTCAAATGCACATTATAAACTGGGTGGTTCGAGCCCTGAATGCTGATTGGCTGAAAGCCGTGATATACCAAGCCGTATACCACAGGTATGACAAAACATTTATTTTTACTGCTCTAATTACGTTGGTAACCAGTTTATAACTGCAATAATGCACCTCGGGGGTTTGTGGTATATGGCCAATATACCACGGCTAAGGGCTGTATCCAGGCACTCTGTGTTGCGTCGTGCCTAAGAACAGTCCTTAGCCGTGGTGTATCGGCCATACACCACACCCCATCGTGCCTTATTGCTTAAATATACTTCTATAGCCATTTCCCCTACCGAGCTTTCCCTGCCTCATCTGGGGTGTAATCATTAATCCAACCCTAGCAAACTGAAAAACATGTTCAACAAAAGTTTATATTGGAATAATTCAGATAGGTCCCTCCCTGTTTTGTTCCGTTTGGTTTCTAGTGAATACACCCCTGTATTCCTAGCAGCACTACTCTCTGTTTGTCAGTGGCAGAAGGATACACCCACTGCAGTTTGAGCTTGTGCTCAGGCAGCGCCCCCTTGTGGTCCAGGCTGTAGCTGTCCCTCTTCTGGTCAGGCATGTGCATGGTGACTGGCCGACCCCTCAGGAACATCCTCACATAGCCATCCTCTGATACAGGAGAGGGGGAGATAACAGGGAGATAAGAACATGCAGCAGAGAGAAGTTTTTTTTAAATGGTGAAGCACTTCCTCTCTGTACCGTTCCTTGCAAGCATGATAGCATGTACAGTAGGTGGTGAAATGTAACAATCTTTTGAACATAAGCACTCAAACAAATTCTGTTTCCCCACCAATGTAAGAGGCAGGATGTGCACTGAAGCATGACGCCAAAATATATAGCTTTAATGTATGTCATTTCAAACAGTTCTGAAGCTTTGCAGAATTGTTTTTTGTTGAGGCACTACAATTACTCAATGTACCCCATAATACGGTCTCTCTTGGCTGACCTAACATCATTAAAAAAACTAATTGCAGTTATGACTTGCATTATAGTGCTGAAGCTGCTGTCATAACGTGAGTCAATTGAGCTCATTAATAGAGCAGTGTGCTCTCCTCGCTGGCTCTTACCATGCAGCTCTGTGGTCCCTAATCATTTACCCAAGCACTCAGAAAGGACAAGGGAAAATGCAGGTAAATAGCTTGCTAAAAATGGTTGTTTATTGGACATTTTCATTCTTAACTTCAGTGCTCCTGTTTCATGGATTTCTGTGTAGTAAACTGGGCAATGCTTATTTGTTATCGGGGTAGTATTTCAAAATGCTCAGTGCCTGGAAATGATGTTTTTGTTAGCACATAATTAATATAATATAATGAATTATCTTGTTAAGGTACACTGTATTATTCTTCAGTCAAACTGTGAGGTATAAAAGGGTGCCAAGTATGGTAAAGGAATCACACACACACACGCAGGCCTGTTGCTGTGCTAAGACGTACCTGCATTGAAGGAGCATTCTTTGCTGAAACGAGATAAATCAGTAGATTGTTATACACATCAAAGGTTATTATTATGACAAGACACTTGGTGGGAGCAGTTTGGAAGTTTCTGAGATGCAGTTTTTAACTCATGGTGTTGCTGCAATGGACTACATTATTCAGTGACCTCATCCTTTATTCCTGACCTCCACATTAGAGCCCATCAACCAGCTCCACAATGCACGGTCAGCATTATCCAAATAGTGCTGCAATATTAAAAGCAGTAGTTCATACTATAGAGCATATAGAAAACAAACATTAAATACAGTATTCACAGACACAATACGGAAGGGAAACTACTGTATTCATGAGATATAGAAAATATAACTGGTGCAATGCCATGAAATGGAAGATAAGGACAGTTATGAGAGAGAGTGACAGAGAATGAAATAAAGAGCACGAGAGAGTGACAGAGACAGCACGACAGTCAATATCCTATCGAGTGGCCTCTCCAGCACTCCACTACATCAGCTGAAAAGCAATGAGTTTCTGTCAAGGCCACTGATAGGTTGCCTAGCTAGGACAGTTTGAGATTACCATGGCAACACAGTCACAGGAGTGATGGTAAGTAAGATGAGAGAGACTAGTCTAGGAGGAACATTTCTTATCATGGTTTGTAAGGAATGTGAATTGCATGAAATAGCCAATTTGAGCATCTTAACCAATCCGAGAGCATAGAGCAGTAGGTTATTCCGTTTGGAGGAAGACTGGATACAATTACAATACTACTGCAGATTGTTTTATTTGACAGCTTGTTTCATTAATTCATGCTATTCAAACTGAAACTGTATTAGTAGTACATTTGGGCAAATACAAGTTTGCTCGCAAGGCATAGCACACACCAAGATCCAATATAGATGGACAGACTGAAAACATGGGGGAAAAAGAGCAAGTAAACAGAGAGGCTTTCATGTTTCTGTCTTTGGCTGAGCATTCATCCACTACAGTGTATTATATCTGGAGCCTGGTTGTTTGTGGGACAACCACAGAGACAGACGGGGAAGGGCTCTCTTTAAAGTAGCTACATAAAGGCCTGTTTGTCTCCCTGCATGCGGCTTTTCAAAATGAGGAGAGGCCCTGTTGTGTCCAATGAGACGCTGAAAGATCCAAAACTACTAATTAAAGCAAGACTTGATGGGAACTGGAAACAGGAAGGCCTGAGAGATAAATAATGGTGTGGCTTGAAAAGCCTCCGACAATGCAGGAATGCAGTTAGCAGAACTTCATTTTACCGGACAGAAATGACAAGGTATTTACTAAGTAATTAAATGGATGAAATGTGTGTTTGTTTCTTTAAGATTCCTCAAAACAAGCAACATTGTAACATTTGGTAGAAAGTTACTGTTGAAATCTATGAAGTAAATATTAAAGTACTCATTGAGTCCCGTGTAGCTCAGTTGGTAGAGCATGGCGCTTGCAACGCCAGGGTTGTGGGATCGATTCCCACGGGGGACCAGTATGAAAACCAAAATGTATGCACTCACTAACTGTAAGTCGCTCTGGATAAGAGCGTCTGCTAAATGACTAAAATGTAAAATGTTATAACCTACCATCATTAGGCCTACCTACTAAATTCCAGGTGCTACCCGAATGCAGAGAACAAAATATGCAAATACATCCAGTCAACTTCTGTGCAGATTGCTGCATTATCGCCTTTAAAAACAGTAAGAGATAGAAAAGTGGTCCAACAGGATATCATCCTCTCTTCCTCAACCAGTATTTGCCTGCATTCAGACCCCTGAATCAAATTTGCCATTCAAATACATGCAATCTGTTCCTCGTCCTCAGGCTCAGCTATCCCATCAATCAGGGTGCGTCAGTCGACATGTTTAATGCATGTGGATGAGCAAAGGTGCCAATCAATAGTCATTCTGCAAAGCAAAAGGCATCAGTCATCCAAATAAATAAGTCACCCAGCCACCCACGATCACAATGAAACATTGCAACAGCAAGGGGGGGAATGTCAAGTAAGCCCCTCTCTGGTATAGAAAAATCAACCCCAGATAGAAAAATGCCCATTCTTTTTGGTTTGTTGACTCACACATCCGTAATGCAAACCCGCAAATGATCTGCCTAAAACTGGAATGGGACAGAGCTCTCCTTAGCCTATTCATAGACGCTAACCCTAGTGTCTATTCACAAAGGTATCTTCCGTTCAGGGAGGGTTGTTAAGAGCCCCGACACTAGGTCTGAACGTTAACATGCATCGCTTGCGGTACAGTTTTGGAAACATAAGGACCTTTTCTTTCATATCAGTGAGATTATTATTATTTAAAACAAAAGGTTAAATTACTACACACCTTTATAAGGTTAGGGTTCCCACACTGTCATATTTCCATGTTGCAGCGCTTGTTTACGGAAGACAGAGGCGACCACCTATGCTAATTAGCTATCTAGCGTGCTCCGAACACCTGTGTGTAACGGAAGGACGCCAGAAAAGTGTTTTAACTGAAAAATACATTGGGCTGCAACTGTGTTAAAAATGGTTAAAACAGTGTACAGTAAGTGTATATTTTATATTTGTGAAATTATTTTGATGTGATGTGAAAGTAGAGGAGGGCTTTATGTTTCTAAAACCGTATCGCAAGCGAGAATTATTAACGTTTCTAAACGTTAAAACAGTGTGTCGGTATTGTAGTTCACATGGTCCCAGCTGTGGCCGATACTTACCGCTGAGAACCCTAGGGATAAGGCAGAATGCCCTCTTGGGTTCCCCCATGCAAACGTTTGAAAACATTCATGTTCTTAAAGAGATGATACAATGAAAAGTACTTGCATTTCAGTGTGTAAACTCAGATTTTCTTTTGATCTCCTAGTCATGTGTTATCTGTGGCGTTAGTTTCTGTTATAAATCATAATTGGTGTTTGCATCATTCTAACCTTGTTTCTTTGCTGCCCCTCCCCAAACCCCACTGAAAGAGAACGCGTGAAAAGGTCCCACATAAGATAAAAGTTACTGCTTCCTGTTGGAAAAAACTATCCATCCACCCAAAATGGCTTGTCAAACAATCACCTTCATAACTGCAAAATGTTTACGTATTAATTTACCTGGGTGATCTCTTCATGGTAACTAATCCGTTAGGTAACAGCACAGTGTTGGCAACGCGATTCACACACCCTGTCGACAACTAACAATCTTCCTTGTTTATTCAGTTTACTTTAGCTGTGTCCTGAGTCTGGGCACTTTTTCCACCAATGGGGAGGCACTTCCTAACTCTGCTGGACCTCCCCTCTGCTCCGTAACCACACCTCCGTTACCTAAGCCCCTGAAATTTGACACCCCTCAGCAGAGTGAGCTCATTGAGGGAGGAGGGAGTGGATGGACTGGCTGCATCCATTTGTCTTTCAAAGCTTAATAGCGCCTCCATAAAACCAATCAGATCTTGTTATCTACTATTCAAACAATGAGCAGGTGTGGGGCATTTCTGTTTGGTACAAGCAACCATCCATGCATTTGACTGTGAATACACTGTTCCATCTTCCTTTATGAATCGACTGATGCTGTTAAATACAGTAGCCTACATAACACTGCACTGGACTAAAATGATGGAAGTACATGTTAAAACACATCAGTAGATCTGTATTGTCGACATAGAGAGGTCATAACAACACTCCCTGGCTGTCTCCTCTCCTCCCTAGACATTACACATACTGGGGTCGAAATTATTCAAGCCAGTCAAACATCCAGCATGCATTCACATGCTCTTTCCATAGAAATACAACACCACGGTGTTACACAGCAATGCATCTGTGGTGCATTCACACAAGTGTTTAATGATCCTTTGTCATCTGATCTGAACAGCAAGAGGTTAAAAACAACAATTCGTCTACTGATCAGTGTCCTAAATTGGACGACAACAAAACCACCTGAGACATTGGGACCTCTACTGTCAGAATACAATGTCAGCCCGAGGAAGAACACAGACCCACACCATATGTCACCTGTCTGATCAAACAGGGAGAAAGAAATGGTATTTTATCTGGCAAGTGAGGCAGATATGGCTGCTCAGGATGTGACAAGCTATCTTGATCATTTCCTCAGAGATCAGAGATGAGCTGTACACCCATTCTCAGATGTTGGGTAGACTACACAGATGTATATGAGGTATGCACGGATGTATATTAGCACCGATGTGAGCTACGGACACAGATGTCTTATGGATAAAAGAGGGACATTGATGTGCGCTAAAGTGGAACAAATCATAGCTAACTGTAACACAGAGCTGCCTAAGCATACATTTATGTGAGAATGCAATGCTACGGTACTGCTTTGGTTCTCTCTGGCCAATGACTACATCATTGTCAGTCAGAGGGTTGCTTGGCTGCACACGATGCTCTCTCAGTTTGCCAGATAGAGCAGGAGTGATTGCTGTGTCAGTGTTTCGAGGGTTAGCTGAGTCAGTGTCTGTGTTTAGAGGGTTAGCGGTGTCTGTGCTGTATCAGACAATCACCTGCTCCTGCCACATGTGGAGCTGCTTGACGAGGTGTTTCTGCTTCTGCTGTCAGACACCATCTCTCTCCTGGCCGTGGACAGACGCTCCGTCGACATGCTCTTCCTGGTGGGGGAGGATAGGTGAGAGGGGGAAGGAGGAAGAGGGAGGGGAAAAAGATGAGAGGTGGAAAGAGGGGGGAGAGTGAACCAGGATATTGAGAGGGATATGAAATGTCCCCGGTCATAGGTTTGCAGTGCAGACTGTAGATTCAACGCCACACTGCCACCCTAAGGATTAGCTTGGAAATGCACAATAGAAGGATACCAAGAAAAACAGTATTAGATCCACACATTTGGACAATGTCTTACCTTTTGATGAACAGCAACACTTCCTTTTGGGGAGAAGAGGGGGAGGAAGGGTATCCCCCCATACGTTTCTGCTGGACATAACCATTGCTGAGAGTGAGAGGCTTGGATGGTAAGGCTTGCAGGAGTTGGCGCACTGGCATCAAAAGAGGGAGAAAATAATGGTTCAGTAAACAGATGTATGTTGTTGAAGTTTTTCAATCGACACTGCAAATTCTTACCAAAGACTACATACAGTACATGGTTTATCTCTCCATTGCAAGTTTTTAAATACAAAATATATATATAGTTTCTCTCAGATTTGGACAGACACTTCAGAACAAACTTCCTTCAGATTATATATTTTGGACTATTTGTTTATCCATGTATGAAGCTGTTATTCAATGCATTTCTATGGGCCAAATTAAATGTTTAATCAACAATTTTTTGTATATGTATGTTTTGATACCTTAAGGGGTCCTAAATTATCCTTTGTAAAACAATTCCCCCTGGCTGGCAACCAACACTCTCCATGCCTTGTGCGTCAGGTTTATAATGCAACCTCCTCGGTATCAGGCTTCTAGACTCTCCTATCACAGCTAGTATGTTGACGAGACTACGGTGGTCTAACGTGGTCCCAGCCTCCCAGCTCCTCACCCTTGGTGGGTGGGGCCAAGGTAGGCCTCCACGCCCCGGCTCCGGCCCCAGGCTGAGTCAGCTCCTCACAGCAGCCCAGTCTGCGCAGCGCGTCGGCCAGTGCGGCCTTTAGCAGCTGGATCTCATCCTCCTGCAACTGGACACGCTGCTCCAGGTGGGACAGGCGGTCGTCCACCTCCATGGTGCTGCCAGCAGACACATTGTCATCTGAGAGATAGGGAGAGAGAGTGGGGGGAGAGGGAGGGAGATAGGGAGGGAGAGAGAGAGAGAGGGAGAAGGAAAAACGGACAGAGAGACAGATAGAGCTGGTGTCAGGAGGATGGAACAAAGGTGTTTTGTTGTTCACCCAGTACAGAACCAGGAATTTGCATAATTCTCCATGCTTTGTGTGTTAGTTTTTGCTAATAAAGATTACACTAGGCTACTTCCTTGACAAACAATATGTTGGTCTTAGATTCCTACAGCAAAGACGACCAAAAATGTCAGTTCTGGGGTTTCTGACAGATGAAAAGCGGTATTTGCTTGAAACAAAATTGAGGCCAACCCCATTTTGAAGATTTTGTCTCTACATCTCTGAAGAATAGCAGAGATGCATAAAGATGGCGGCCCCCATGCACTTAACACAAATGCCTCGTTTGCTAAGTTAACTGTATTGTACATTGGCCTCCTTTACTCTTTTGTGTGTTGGCATTAGCACATTATACCTGACCCCAGTTCTAGCTCCAAGATGGCGGCAATTTGAATTTATTGATTTATTAGCGCGTTGAACCATGTCGCGCACCGTACTTTAAAAACTCAGTGGGTAGTGGTAAAACAATGACGTCATTTCTGAATTCCGATATCTTTATGCACCTTCGCCATTGTGTGAATGCTAGCTAGACCCTAACTTCTCGTCCTTCACTGGGATGACATCATTTGGCTGTCCAATGTAATCCTCTGTTCCAGCTCCAATGCTTAACTCTGCAATATCAGATAGGATGTACTGTAACTGAAAGGTCTGACAATTCTTTCAAATGTCTTTCAACAAAACAATGCAGTCAAAACAGATTCTGTGACAATGTAACAGCATGCTGTACATGCAGTATAATGTTGAGTTGACGACTGTTTGTCACTTGACAAAATTCTGGTATTTGTTATCATCATATGCCATTCAGTGGAGGAAAAAGTACTCAATTGTCATACTTGAGTAAAAGTAAAGATACCTTAATAGAAAATGACTGAAGTAAAAGTGAAAGTCACCCAGTAAAATACTACTTGAATAAAAGTCAAAGTATTTGGTTTTAAATATACTTAAGTATCAAAAGTAAAAGTATAAATAATTTCAAGTTCCTTATATTATGCAAATCAGAATATTTTTATTTATTTACGGAGAGCCAGGGGCACACTCCAACACTCAGACATAATTTACAAACTAAGCATTTGTGTTCAGTGAGTCAGCCTGAAGTATTTTTACTTAAGTACTTTACACCACTGATGCCATTCAAATGACCAAGAGACATTGTTAGATGAATGTGTCTTTGGAGAAGGATATTTGCATATGACAATTCTACCTGAACTAATATGCACCCCTGTCATGCAGTACTACCAACAGGATTTCTTAGTATAATGCTGCTCTGACTGACATGCCTATTTACTCTGCCTGTAACATGTCTGACCCTGTGGAACCAATTATCTAATCTCTCAGTCAGAAAGATTGTAGAAGAACACACATTCAAATTGGGCATAGCGGAGAGTTTGATTAAAAAGATCCCAACATCTGTTAGATGTTTTTATTCAGCAGGAGGGAAAATGAAAGAACATGTCAAACTGGATACTCCGACATGACAAATACCTATTGGATCTTATGGGGACTTCGGTATAGTTTGCTGTCAAATAACCATGGCGTGCTTTATAACCTTGGTCACAATTTGAAATCTGCTGAGTAAAGAATGGATAAGATTTAAAATCGCCTCTGCAGCAAATGTAAATAACACTGCCTCTGAACGGCCAAGTTACAAAACAACCACAGCTATGGAGGTTTACTCCACCCATTCCCATGTCACAAACTAAAAAACCTGTTTGAAACGTTTCTGGTAATGAATTAAGTGTGATCATTCATTCATTTAAACCTACCTAATTACTCAACAACGATTCCACATGAACGCCATCCCATTACTTTGTTAATGAAAAGCAGGTGGCAGCTGTGTTAAAAATGCATGGCTACTAATGATATAATATGAAAATGACTAAATGGGGAGAGGAGAGAGGGAAGGTTAGCTCTATAGTGTAAGGTGGAGAGGGATGAACCCCTGTGTATTGCGAGAGGACAATGGAGGTCAGAGGAGAAACCAAAGCCTGCTGAAATATTCATAGGGCTCTGGGCTCTGCTTGCCATCCCCTACCTGTCATGCTCAGTCACTCAGCCAGCTAGCCAACCAGTCACTCAGTCAGCTCTCCTCTCCTTAGCTCTCTTGGGGGCTCCCGGGATGGGCTTCTTTCTGATGTAGGGTTTGATGATGTAAGTGCCTGTTCTGCCTCTCTCTCCCTGGACCAATCCCCCGCCTCCTACTTATTTTCCTCCTTCTCCCTAGCGGTACATGCGGCTCACAAAGAGACAGGCGAGTCACTGTTTGTAACAGTGGATGCCGCCTGAGACTGGGAGGGAGGCTGGCTTGGCTGGGGGCCAGACCTATACGCTGCTGCAGAAAGAGCCAGGCACTACCAGTGAACTTCAGTGGGTGGGATCTGAGTCTCCACCATTCATGACACACAAACACACACTTGAGTACATTTGACATTTTAGTCATTTAGCAGACGCTCTTATCCAGAGCGACTTACAGTTAGTGAGTGCATGCATTGTATTTTATTTTTTCATACTGGCCCCCCGTGGGAATCGAACCCACAACCCTGGCATTACAAACGCCATTCTCTACCAACATCCCTGCCGGCCATTCC